TGCTCGCATGTCTTGTAGCAGTTGATACAAGTGCTCAGAATGGGCCGTGCGCTCCTGAGACACAGACTCACTGATGAACTGTACATCTGGGTCTGGGTCTGAGTCACATACATCCATCAAGTTGCAATCATGCTCACGACTCAGAGCTGCCATAGCTTGATCCACCACATGTTTGCAATTGCCTTGCTCGGCAACCGACCGACATATTCGCGCCACTCGCGCAGCATATGCCTTGTCACCATCAACGTCTTGCACCGGACACAGTCGAGCTGCAGCCACATTCCTGCACAACACATGCATGAGTGATAACACCACGACAATCGCACACATGAGCACTCCAACATGTCCAACATGGCAATGCATGCAGCAGCACGGGTCCTAGCAAAGCGAGCGAATGTTGTGACTGCCCAGACCGGCCACATCATCAGCCTAAACACGGAAGGCTTGTGGCCGTTGCTGTGTGCACACATGGGAGTCGCACTTGCCGAAGGCGTCGCCTCAGGAGACAACCCAACATTCATGCCTGGATTTGCTTGGAGGGTGGCATCGGCAGTTCCCGATACAGCCGTATCAGGATGCGAGTGTCCTGCTTGGAGTGTGGCTTCACATGTGGTCGTGTCCTGGCTGCCATGGCCGACGGTCGTTGCATGCACGGCATCCACGCTATCCGCTGCACCCACATCATCGTTTGTGGCGGCTATGCCCGCCTTTGCATCTTTCATCTCTGTCACAACATCTGAAGCGTTTGCTTCGTCCGACGTGGCCGGCGCCGTGGGGTTGCTTGCATCGTCCGTCTCAACCGCATCATTGGCAGTGGTTTTGCTCGCATCTTCAGTCTCCGCCGCCACACATTGCGCAGCGGCACTGCTCACATCTTTCATCGCCTCTACATCTTCCTTTGCTGTCACATCATGTGTGGTGGCTTTGCTTGTGGTTTCCTTGACCATGTCTTCCATTGCATCCACCACCACATCATGCGTGGTGGCTTTGCTCGCGTCTTTTGTCTCCACCAGATCATCCATGGTGGTTCCAGCACTTTGTGTCTGTGTCTCATCCACAAGTGTGGATGCAGAAGCGTTGTTCTGCGCTGGCACACTTGGAGGCGAAGGTGTGTTGAAAAGATGCTGTATTCCTGCTTTCGTCACCAAACCAAATTTCACGGTTGGTGGTGGCTCCTGCGCAGCTGACTTGCTACCTTTGCTCGGTGCTTTCGGCTGTGGTGGTGATGGAGATGCTTTCCGTTTGGCATCTATTCTGGCCGGCTGCTTGCTCTTTGGCGGCGGCGGTGGCGGGGCATGTGGCTGTTTTGCCTTCGGAGTTGGCGATGGCTTAGAGTCGGGCGCCGCCTTGGTACACGCAACACAGCAAGAGTATGTTACATAGCTGCAGAGCGAAATACATGACTTGCTTTTGACACTGACTTAAACAACATGTTGTCTCTGCATCCATAGTTGCAGCTGACGAGGCTTTCCCTCGCCGCTTTGGCGGGTTGCTCTTGGCAGCCGTGTGAGCGGGAGCGACCGGCTGCTTTCGTTTCCGAATCGGTGGTGACGACATCACAAACGCATGTGACAGCTCACTGACAGTACGGGGACGTGTATGCAAGTCGATGCAATGCATAATTGGGCGTTGCCATCTGGTATTATGTGTACACCTTACATATTGAGAAGCATGTTGAATGTGAGCACTGCAGCATCATGCATGCAACACAACCTGATCAGCATGCAAAGACGTGCATCCAGCAATAACGCAGAGGGCATCAAGTCACTCATGAAGGAGTCTACGCTCAAAGTGATCAAACATGACGGGCACACACAACACCGTGGAGATGATTGACCTGAGTCAAGCAGTGTTTGCCCGTGAACAGCCCCATATGTAGACAACAAATCCACATCTGCCAGTGAACGTCACATGTCTGCACACAACACGCATACATTGATATCACACAACTGTCAGGGCATTCAATGTCCACGCAAAGCTAGTGTTTGCGGTCATGCCATGTCCACACATCAGGTACGCGCTACATGTATCCGTGGACATGTCATGTCCACACCCATATACTCGTGGACACCCCATGTCCACACAGCCCGTGGTTGTGGACATTGAATGCCCACGAAACCCATGCAGGTGGACATTGCATGTCCACACCCCAGGTGTCCGTGGACATGCCATGTCCACACCCAGAAAGCCGTGGACATCACATGTCCACACAGCCCGTGCCCGTGGACATTGCATGTCCACAGAAGCCATGCCTGCGGACGTTGCATGTCCACACACCCCATGCCCGTGGACATTGGTGCACGTTAACAACCGTCGTCCGTGGACAACGTCGCGTGCCCACACAGCCCGTCCCGTGGACATTCCATGTCCGCGCCACCCATGCCCGCGGACATCCCAAGTCCGCACCACACCTACCCGTGGACATCCCAAGTCCGCACCACACCTACCCGTGGACATCCCATGACCACAGCCCCGTTGCCCGTGGACATCCCATGTCCACACCCCACCCTGCATGTGGACATTCCATGGCCACACCCCACTCTTCCCGCGGAGATCCAATGACCACACCCCACCATGCCCGTGGGCATCCCATGACCGCAAACTGTTCATGCAGGCATCCCGTGTCCACATCCCGCCTGCCTGTGGACATTCCACTACCACAAAGTAATTGCCCATTAACATCAAGTGTTCATACCAACCGGAAGCCCACCACAGATGTACATCAAACATGTCACACTAGGAATCCTCAGCAAGTGCATCAGCGATACTGGTGTGCCCCTAGCCCCTAAACCCTAACCCTAACACTAGACCCTACAGCCTGAACCCTAAACCCTACACCTTACACCCCCCAAACTTTACACCCTAAACACTAAGCCCTAAACCCTAAACCCCTACACCTTACACCCTGATCCCTAAGCCCTAAGCCCTACACCCTGCACCCTGCACCCTATGCCCCACACCCTAATAAACACTAACCCTAAACCCCAACCCTACCAACAATACACACTGGCTCAGGCTGATCAATCATGAATCATGTGATGCACTCTCAGCTGCCCACACGTGGAAGTCATCTGTCGAGCCTTGGTAGCACACGGATGCAACGCTATACAACAGTGCTTTGATTGTAGAGAGCCACTCATCGTATATGCTTATATGCGCCCACTGCTTGCACTACGTCTGTCTTTTCCCAGGTGCTCGAGATCCCTTGAGACTTCAGATCAAAACAAACTCCACACAGGTGACACGGCTGCTGCGTGCTGCTATGTGCTGATTCCTACCCTACCGCGTCCTGGACTTCCTAGTCCTGGTGTCGTCACTGTCGCCCCGACTCCGATGCTTCTTCTTGTGGTCCGAGTCCTTCTTGTCCTTCTTCGAGTAGTTCTTGCTGTCGCCCCCACCATCCCGTGGCCGTGACGACCGGGACGACTTTTTCTTCCTCCTCTTGATCGAGACGGACTCGTCGTCGCTGATAGGATGCTTGCGCTTGGGTAGTGTCTTGGACTGCGCGGTCTTCACTGCATCTTGTGCCTCCCTTCGTCTCCTTGCCCAAGTAACTCCAGCGGCAGCGGCAGCTGCAACAATATCATCGCTAGGCTTCCTCTTGGGCATGGGCTTGCTCTTCGGCTTGGCTTTGGCCTTTGTCTTTGCCTGGCCTACACTGCCCTTTGCCTGGCCTGCACTGCCCTTCTTTTGTGAAGGCGCCGACACAGAGGAAGCTGCCGCTGTTGTCGTGGCATGGGGGGCCGTTTCCTTCGACGACTCAGACGATGATTCCTCTTCAAGCAACTCTTCCTCCACTGCCTCCGTCGTAACCACATGCATACTCGGGCTCGACGAATCGTCCGAAGCCGTGCCGCTGTAGCTGCCCGATTCCTGCCAAATCGTGGCACAAAGAAGAACGTCCCAACACATATAGAAATACATATGTATCATGTTATCTGTCAGCATGTGTGTTTTTCTATCCCGCACCTGCCTGTTGATGGCGACGTGTGGGCTCCTTCGGTGCTGTCGGCTGCGACGGTGTTGCAGACCCTGCTTCCGGCTGCACTGATTGCACCGGCTGTTGCGCATGCTCTTGGGCATGGTTCCCGGCCGCCTTTGCCTGCGCCGCTATGTCGGTCAGTGAGGAGGTGCCCGGCATCGTTTTGCGACCAGGAATTCCGTCAAAGCTTGCTCCATACGGCGCCGGCTCACGATGAAGTTGCACCGGCTTGGTGTCCTCAGCTCACAGAAGAAGCCAATGCAACGAGTAAGCCAGCAATCATACACCCGCACCGCAGCAAGCACATACATGCGGCATGCCTCCCTGAGCCATGACAGGGGTTTAGGCGTGGTTTATGTGTTTAGGGGTTTAGGGGTTTAGGGATTTAGGTGTTTAGGAGTTCATTGGTTTAGGTGTTTAGGGGTTTACGGATTTAGGGGTGTTATTGCAAGGACGCAACAACAGGCACGCCAACATCATAGGCCAGCACTAGCGCATCAATCACGCACATGTGTCATGACTCCTTAAACCCTACACACTAAACCCCTCAGCCCCTACAACCACCCTAAACCCCCAAACCGTACCCCAAACCGTGAACCCCAAACCCTTGGACCTTAGCCTAGGTATTCATAGACAGACATGCGAGTGGATTTACTAAGGTTGGCAAGGCGTCTGCAATGACTGCGTAGGATTACCATTGGCCAACACGAACACTAAATTCACACGCATGCGTCACAGCAAGCACACACATGCAGCTCACCTGTAATTGCAGCAAGACTCCTCTGCCACACCATCGTTGATTGCCGCATGTTCAGCACGTTCCGGCACAGGTTCGGGTGGAGTAGTTGGGATCAGAAGGAACGGAGACACCGAGGGTTGTGGCTTGGTCTTGGTTCCACCGCTGGCGCCGCGGCTGCGAGCCGTCATGGCACTGTAGGCACCGCATGCAGCCGTGGCGCTTCCATCCGGGCCGGGAGCTGGCACTGGCATCTCTGCTGGCATTTTCACCTGTGTTACTGCCGCTGCCGCCGCAGGATGCATGGCTGGTGGCTGCGTGGCTGGTGGGGTCAACCCACTCATTGGGCGCAGTAGGCCGCCCAGACCCATCCCTGTCATGCCAGCGCCTGGTCCAATGCCCCCAAGCCCAAGCGTTTGCAGGCTAGGCATGCACATGTTGCCCATGTACATGGGTGGCAACGTTGGCATCGGCTGCTGCAAGAGTCCTGGCCCAAGGCCCATGTTCAAGTTCAGCTCTGGCACCGACTGCATCGGCACCGGTGGCTCATGCACTCGGCCAACGGGGTACGGCACGCGTGGCGGCGCCGAAGAGAATCCCGGCAAGTGGCCCGGCGCAAGTCCCGGCGGGTGTCCCGGCGGGGGTCCTGGCGGGGGTCCCGGCGGGGGTCCCGGCGGGGGCCCGACAGGTTCTGGCACAGGTTCTTTCCGCACCCTCGGCGGTCTAGGCGGGACATACGTTGCAGGGACTGGTGGGGGTCGCGGTGGAGTCTGCAAAGCTGGTGCCGGCGGTGCGTGCTCTGGTGGAGCTGGCGGGGGCGGCAGCGATGCCGCCAACAAGGCACTCGGCCTTGCTTTCTGCGGCGGCGCCATAGTGTATCCACCGCAAGAGTCACGAAGAATTGCAGCTACCAGTGCCAACAAGACAGCTGTGCAAACATGCCTACTTACAGGCTTACATACACAAAGCTGTGTGTCGCGCACTTTTACTACATGTTTTGCTTGTTATGCCTCGGCTGTGACCTGTGACTACTGTGACTACTATCATGCTGATTCGTGGCACTGAAGCAGCTCACAGCAGAGTCACAGTTGGCAACAATATGCAACAAGACAAACCGCGCACAACAACATGTCAGTAATAACACTAAATCAAAGTATATAATGTCACGCAGGTCCAGTTAGTCCGAGGGCCCGGCCCTGCACCTGAAGAACTGGAAGCTGTGGTCGCTGATTGGAGTTGTTGCACCTGCGCGAGCCGTTACTTATTGGAGTTGGTGGTCTTACTGTCCCCCCGCTCCTAATCTTAAACTCAGTCGTGAAGCATCGTGCACAAGTACTAAGTACACAACACTTGCAAATCAACTAGCCGACCGGGAGAGGCCTGCGCAGGCAGCTGACGCACGTGCCGAGCGCATCCAGCGCAAATCCTGAACGCAAGTTAGTCTGTGATGTGTTGCAACTGAGGATTTCCGCTGTCCTTGAGTGTCCACGGCTGTCCGGCTGCAGTAGCAGTTGCCGCATCCAGGCGGGCAGTGACGACAAAGACTTGTCGCACTCTCTCATGTCAGGCTCTGCGGGAGGCGGCGCATCTCCAGTCATGTTCTGTGATATCACTGCCTGCATGCACTCGTCGTGCCAGTACGTGAGGCAAAGCATGCAGAGGCCCGTGTGCCCTGCACGTCGACCGCCAGTCCGGCCCGAGCAACGCTCCGAACACAGAGCGCATTTGCGGTTGAGTCCATGCGACCACAGCTGGACGTTTCCAGCCTCCTGCAAGCAAGCCATGTGTGTTGCGTTGGGAATTCTGGTAAAACCGGTAAAACCTGAACCTAAACCCAACCCTGGGCCTTAAACCCTAAGCCCTAGGCCCTAGGCCCTAGGCCCTAAACCTGATCCTAAACCCTAGGCCCTAGACACTAAAGCCTAAAGCATAAACCCTAGCCCTAGCCCCTAAACCCGCCTAAACCCTGAACCTTGAACTCTAAACAGCCCAAACCCTAAGCCCTAAACCCTAGATCATAAACTCTAGGCCCTAGACACTAGACACTAACCCCTAGGCCCTAGACCGTAAACGATGCTCAACAATCCAACATGCCAGACGTGTCACAAATGACTGACTTAGGTCTGAGCGCAGAGCCATCAACACACTCGGCAACAACACAGCGCAACTCCGCAACTCAGCAAACGTCACAACATATGTGGAATGTATTACTTTGGCAAAACCACCTGGACTGATGACTTCGGTATTAGCAGATCTGTCAACAACTCAGCAACTTAACAACTCACAGCACAACTCAACTCAACACATCAACAATCCGGGCAGTCCTCGTTCGCATGCATGATGGCGACCTTAAGGAAATTCACGAAGCGACAGACCGTGGAAGGCAACTGGTCGCGCAGCTCCCCTGTACCACTTCCTCGGACCCTCCTGGAACACGCGCCTGCGGCAGAGATCAGGCACTGGTAGCGTGCCAAATCAAACACCTCTGTCGGCACGGTTCTGCCGAACAAAGAAGCTGGCGACCAGACCACACGGTTGGCTGCATCCACTCGAGCAAGACGACCCTCGCGCTCAGCAGCATTCACCCATTTCACGTAAACCAATTCGTAGCACTGCAGCTGTAGATCCGTGTCATGCCCTTGTGGAAGACGCACCAGCACACTGATTTCATCTGCATGGCCGATAGGCAGCTTGCCACGTTCAGCGGCGTCATCAATTGCTGATATCGTCTCTGCAAATGCCTCGTGCCACAGCTTGTACGCCTTCTTATATGTGGAAGGGCGATGCAGAGGTTGTTGTTGCTGCCGCCCCTGTGTCGCTTCAGCTGGCAGCGACACCTTCGAAATCGTGGCTGCCGACTCTGACGTACGGGCAACGGCATCGTCCTCGGCATCTTCGATAAAGTCTGAATCATCAGCCTCATCCTCATCAGATGACACCATTTTGTTTTCGAACTGCTTCAGGAGGTCTGAGTAATCTGTTCCGCGTAGTCGCTTCGGATTGCTGGATGCTGCAGTTGCGTCCTGACTGGTGCGCTTGACCCCAGCGTCCTGAGCCTGTGCATTATGTTGCCGAATCAGGAGCAGCAACGCCTCCTCTTCCAGCTCTGCACCTGTCAAACCAGATGGCTGCGCGAGCGTATTCGATAGCATCTCGCTGGCTTGCTCAATCTTCCTTAAGTCTGCATTGCTGGTGCCGCCATCAGCGCGAGATTTCATCACTCCAGCAGCTGCTTTAATGGTCGCGGCGTTGGCAGAATCAACTGCGTCTGCATCTTCGAAAAGGCCAGCCGCCATCTCTTCCGATGCCTCTTGGGAATCGTCCCCCAAACCATATCCAGCATTTACATCCTCATGGTTTTCAAGCACGCGCCTCTGCCCCTCTTCATCTAGAACACCCTCGGCACCAGCATTAGAGGTGTCCGGGGCATCCTCATCACCAGCACGTTGTTTCACAGTCAGTTGCATGAAATTGTTGTCCCGCTCCCCAGCCAAAGCAGCGTGATTATACGGCCTCCAGGGTCTCCAGAGCGGCGCTGAATCAATGTCGCGGTGGGCAGCTACACCGGCGCCAACGTCTTGCAACGCCGGCAGTTGATCGGCAGAGTCCAACCAGCCGAGCAAACCTTTCTCTTGATACAGCACACGCATTGCCATCAAACAGATTGTAGATTCTTCGTCTTGGCAAGTGGCGTAACACTGCCGGAAAACATTCGGCGATGAACTGAACTGCAGCAAGCCTCTCTCATCCAAAAGAGGTTCCAAACGCCCGTCATGCGTGGTTTTCAGGAGCACCATGTGGTCGTGAGATCTGTGAGACGCAGCCTGCAACGCCAGCAAGTCATTGCTCTCAGACGGCGTTTTCACATACAGCACCGTCGATGCCACAGCAGACCAAAGGCTACCCACAGCGTCGCTGCTCATGAATGCTTTTGATGCCTTGTGCCACTTGACCACTGCGTTGGCAACCCACTTGAACTTGGCATCCTGCATACTGCACAGCCACTGAAGTTGTCCAGCAACCGTGCCCAGTGCCTACCTTTATTTCAATCAACAATCATCAGCGCTCACCTCTCAACTTAGACTGACCACCGACACAAACTCTGAATGAACAGCACACATATTTACGACACGCCCTGCCCCCCCCCCCCCGGACTATCGACTATGACTATCAACTGAACCCGCGAGGCAAACATCTTCAAGTGCTGGCGCTCAATGACTCAGTGACTTAGTGACGCATGCATGCATGTTGTGTGCCTGTTTCAGCTCAGGCAGAGCAGCTGCCAGGTTCGTGTTGCCGAGGCTTGCGTGCAAAGTCCGCAGGGTCATCGTATCTGTCGGCCTGAAACGATCTGCGGCGTTCATCGCGACCTTGTAGTCTTGACCAACAGCAATCATGTCCTGGCACGAGACCATGAGACAGACCCATGAGACTGTTGGGCTACCGTTACGTTAGGAGGCGGCCTTGGTGGTATAGACTGTTTTGTTTTTTTTTTTTTTAACTGTCTGTTTGTGGCCCGATACTACAACGCTAAACGCTAAACTAAATGCTACGATACTACGATGTTTTCGCCAACCAAGCCGACCTGCAGGATTGGAAATGCACGGCTCTTGATTGCTGACCACCTCTTCGAAATTGTGTCGTCATGCGCCGATCTGAAGGCAGACCCGGCGCGAGCGAATGCGCTTGCCTTCTTCAAGATTACCCTGGCAGACAAGCTCGCAATGTCGATTTTCGCGCATCGTGTGGAGATCAGCTTGATGATAGAGTTGATGCTCTCGACCAATTGCGTATCTCCCAACAGTATGCCAGACATGGCGCTAACGATCGCCCAAAGCATCGAACCGGACGATGTAGCGTTGAAGTCGAAGAACCCCTCGCGGGATATAAATTCCAGCTCCGACTGACACAAGCGTCGGATATTGGCTGCATTGTACTCCAGCGAGGAAATATCGGCAGCAAGCAATTCGTCCGCAATTCCTGTCACGAGTCACGAATGACACACACACATCAACAACATCAACGTAACACACATCAACATTATAATCACAACGGTAACGCACCATGCTGCCGTAACATATTTCTTCAAAAGTCCATGTCAGTGAATTCATGACTTCATGAGTCCATGACTCCATGACTACTTCATGACCGTCCATGACCCATGCCCATGACTGATGACTCAAAACAGCGGCTGCCCACATACTTTTCTCTCGCGACCACAACATTCATTTCAGAATCTGTCCGTGGTTCAAAAAAAGCAGCCAGGCATGCGGCATAAGGCATGGCGGCATAGCGTGTCATGCTTCTGCATCCGGCTCCCGTGGCGGCGGCAAGGGTCGAATGACCACCTCGATACTGACATTGACCCTGAAGCCACCAGTGTTTGGCTGCTGCTGGAGGACGTGTGGCACATTCACATACGCAAGCGGCATCGTCATCTGCCCATTTGCCGCGTGCACGTTCATTGGTGATCCAGATCCATTGCCAAGGCCAACACCGATGTGTGCCGGGTGTCCAATCGGGGCCGCTGGTGCTGTTGGTCCGGGCAGGGCGGCGTTGACCCCATGGGCCTCACGGGCGGGGTCTAGTCCAGCAGGTGGGGCGTGCGCCTCGTGCGCTGGTCCGGGCCGGGGAGGACTTGGCATTGGTGCCGGGTGTCCAATCGGGGCCGCTCTGGCCGCTTTGACCGTTGGTGTGGGCACAGCGTTGGCCTTGGCCCCATGGGCGCCAGCAGGCGGTGCAGCGGGAAGAACGTATCCATCGGCCTTGGCCTTGGCAGGACATGGGACTGGTGGCCCACCAGCACGACTTGGCGCATGTGGACTAGACGGTCCAGCGGAATGAATGCATCCATTCGCCTTTGCCTTTGCATTGGCAGGCAGTGGCCCGCCATCAGCACTCGACCCCGGTGGTCCTGCGGGAAGCGGGTCACAGTGCTGCCCCGGATTGGCATCAGCGGGTCTTGATGGCACAGGCGTTGGCGGACTTGGCCCACCGGGAGCGGGAGCAGACGAACCTCGCGCTGCACCTGCTGCAGCTGCTGGTGTACCATCATCATCTGACTCACGGCCGAGTCCGAGCATATCATTCAGTGCTTCCTCAGCGGCTGCTGCAGCTGCATCACCATCAGGTAGGTTTGGTCTGTCTGCGATATCCGCCAGCAGTCTGTCAAAGCCTTGGATTGGTTTGTACTGAGTACTGCGTTGGTATTAGCCGTTAGCCGTTAGCCGTTGGCAGTGTTAGCCTGCATTAGCAGATTAAGCATTGAAGTAAACCAACCAACAAGGGCGGGCACTGCGTACAAGGAAAATATCACATACCTGCCCTGCCCAAGGCTATCTAGAAGCTGGAGTCGTCAGAAGAAGATCCGATAGAACGACAACTGCGAGCACGAGGACGGCCCCCACGTCCACTACTGTCACCACGACCACGACCTCCATCAGCAGGGCGGTTGCGGCCACGACCACTGACAGTGGCCCCACCTCGCCCACGTGATGGCCGCGATGACGATGATTTAGGCGCAGCCGCTGCAGGTGGAGGTGGCGCAGATCTGGCCCTCTTCTTGCCCCTGTCCCCGGAATCATCCATGGAATCCACCGTCACAGTGACCAAATGCCACAGAACTCACATGACCCACTGGACTGAATGTTTGGAAAACATTTTTTTGAGCCCAACGTTGCATGGACTCTCACAGTTAGAATGTTAATTAGACTAAGACTCCAAAGACCTTGGACTCTGACTCAGACTCTCAGACGACTCATCGCAAAGTCAGTCCTTTGCGTTTGCTGCATCTTGCCAGCGGTGGCCGCCATATCATCCAAAGCAGCTTCAGCGGAAACCTGGTGACTCGGTCATGATGACAGGATAGCAAATGATGGATTCTGGATTTTAATAATCTAACCATGGGACTGACTGGCTAACCATGCAGATGACAAAGTCAAAGCCGCAAGCCGCAATCAAATTATATCAAATTACACAATCAATCTCAATCAATCAATCAAGGAATCAAGCACACAACAACACAGTGCATGCAAGCAAGCATTGACCAGCATCAGCACGCAGCACGTTGCAACATGTCAGCATGTTTGATGCTGCATCCAGGTGCCTTCGAGTCAATGTCACAATGCGCATGTTGAAGTTGGCCGCCCCGTTCATCAATAGTTTGAACGTCAGACCTTTGAGCAGCGCTTGCAGTTGTGCCGGAATGTCTGTGGCACCCATTTCGACCAACGCTGCGTCGAACCATTTGTCAAGGTTCAAAGCCAACTCCGCATATTCCTTCAAGATGTCGTCGGACTTTCCGGTAACCAACTTCAACAAGAGCGCGTCCTGACTGTTCTTCTGGCACCACGCAAAGAAATGCATGAGCGGTGCTCGGGCAGTGTTCATGCAGCGCAGCAGAACCCAGAATACGTGGCATCTGAGGGCACCAAACGCACCCGAGGCCCATTTGCTCATACGTATCTTGTATGCCTCCGCCGAATCGTCATCCAACAACGCTGCCACCTTGCTCTGTCCTCTAGCCTTTGCCTTTGCTTTTCCTTTCGGCTGTCCTTTTGCTTTGGCCTTTGCCGGCGTCTTAGCAGCTGGAGTTCCAGTTTCATTCTTGTCCGCCTTCATTGTTGACGAAAGCAGCGCCAGCCATACTGGCGCCAGGAACTCTCTTTTACGCTCCAAAAAAAACAGCTCGGCAGCGTGCACGCAACCCCAGCGGCCAGACAGTACGCGCATGGGATACTGACGATAATTGACGCCTGGTGGACTCGTCGTTCCGTGCGTGCGTTCATATATGTCGATGAACTCGGAAACGTGCTCTCTCCAGAAGTTCACGCACTTACCCAGCGATGCAAAATACTTCGAAAAGGAACCCATGGTGCTTGGATAAGCGCGTTGCGCTTCTGACAAGAAATCGTCAGCCATCTGCAATTGTTCACGGACAGCAATATGAAATTGGTGCAAGATGCAGTTGACGTCGACATAAAACACATTGGGGAGGCCTGCCCGACTGACTGCAGCCAGTGTTTGCTTTCTTCTCGCTGATTGGTCGGTGCCAGCGTCAGTCGTGTCAGCGAAAATAAATATGGAGTTTGGCCGCAACTCGCCTCGCCTCAGGTCAGGTGATGAGCACTAAGACAGAGACCACAGGAAACAACATAAACGACTCGACACTACGACACTATTACATACCGACAACAACTATGCCAAATATTTATACCGAAGCAAAATCAGCTTCTCTGCCAGGCCGGCAATGTCATGCAGATACGGGATGCCCAACGAACGCAGCTGCTTCACAACCAGCCCCAAAGCATGGGAGCTGGTGCCGCCCATGACCACATGGAGGTCCGACCTGATTGGTGCACTCACACTCACATCACTTACGTACATACATCTTACATTATAAAATGGTAATGATAATCAATCTGAGCCAAGCACTACGCACATAACCCAAAGGCCCACAGGCCAGCCCAAGCCAACAATTAGATTCCAGAGATAAACGCAAACATCGCTGAAAGCCGCCCAAGGCAAAGGCAACCGGCAACCGGCAACACATGTTCTATTGATAACATCATGTAATCATGTAATGTCTTACCGAGAAGCACGCAACGTCGGTAGGTCATGCCAGCCGCAAAGTTCCCGGCTTTCAAGGCGCCGTCATCGCAGATGAAGCTGACAGCCGCCTCAAGCACATGGAGCTTCTTACGTCTCCAGATGGAAGAGTTCGTGGCATCGGATCTGTAGCCAACGGCAAACAGATTAAAGCCAGTACCTGCATCTGGCGGCGTCCCAGGCTCCTTCGTTGACATCTTGACGCCCTCTGCCACATAGCACTGAAAGCTGTGAAGAAGTGCTGCTGCCGCCCGATGCTCACATCGAATGACCGTCTGCTGCGAGATGTCAGTCATTGACAGTACTCCAAAGTCAGCAGCGGCCACATGTGTCAAACTCTTCCGTAGCCCAATGGAGAACATGCTCTGCAACGAAAACCTGCCGCCACGGCCATCCTTTTGTTTTCCAAGCTTGCGGATTGTAAAAGCATCGTCCACTGTGTTCTTAATCGCCAAAGCCAGTGACTGCTTCTTCTCCTCCTTTGCAAGGGCTCGCTTTGCACACAGCAGCTTTTTGTTTAAATCCTTAATCCTGGCATCCCTTGTCTGCAACTGACGGTGCTGCTTCAAGCATAGCCGCACAAGGTCAGGTTTATCCTGGGCGAGAAGATGCTGCGCATGCATTGCCTGCGCTGCCGGCGCTGGCCGAACTGCAACTGCAACGGGCTGTGCCGCCTGTGCCTGTGCCGGCTGCGCTGCTGCAACTGCAACCCTTTGTCGCTCATCATCATCGTCTGATGATAATATTTCCAACCCACCATCCAGCGCCTGTACCACCTGAGTCTGTCGTGGCTCCACCAGCAAGGGCCTGTCACCGTCACCGGAATCATCGTGAATTTCGAATGACAATGGTGGCAGCCGAAAACCCAACGCCGTGCACATAGATTGAAGGTGTCTCAAGCTTATGAAGTTTCCATGCACGCCAGGACCTTGCAAGCGGGGCACAGCATTCAGTGCATTGGCAATCCGATCATTGGCAGCCTTCGCGGATAGCCCTTGCTCACGCAGCAAGTTTCTTACGCAGCTAACAACTGCATCTCTGCCTATTCCGGTCTGGCCATTGCTGAATGTCACCACACCGGTAGCCAGCAAGGTTGCGAGCGCTCTCTGAGCAAGCAGCGACGACATTGCGTTCAAGCAGCAAGCAACAACAATTAATACATTGTTACAGTTACAGTTACAGTTCCACTGGGCTGGGTGTGGTTTACGCCTAGTGTAGTGGAGGGTTCAGCGGCTAGCCTTGCCTATACCTAACTTTCCTACCAGTCTATCGTTGTCCGTTGTCAGTACCAGTACAAGAACTTAAGAACTCATCAATCGAGCGGTGACTGGTGACCAACAATGACCAACGCTTTCTTGGGCAACAACATTGCGGCATTTGTCATCTTGCCAGCACATTGCGGCATTGGCTCGGCTCACGTTACACATTCACGTCTTTCATGTTGGCTGCCATCATCATGTTACCAAAGACTCAGAAGGTGGGCCAACAAGCCAACACGGGCCACCGCACAAACACAATCATTGTATCAGCAATCATTCATGTTGCCGCTGCCAACAAACCAAATTGAAACACAATCACAAACGCCAATCCCACGACTTCCAACAAGCAAACAACAATACGCACGGTCTACGAGTCTACGGCCGTACGGCTCCTGTGCTCACAGCTCATGTCGATAAGCATCAATCACGCAACTCACACAACCTCAGTCACAATCTCCAGCAACCAGCAACCAACACGAAACAACGACGCGCTGTCTGTGACCTATAGGCTATAGGATCCGGAGACTGCAAGCAAGCAACAAGACGCACGGCCTACGGCCCCTACGGCCTACGGCCCTACGGCCCTACGGCCCTACGGCCCTACGGCTCCTGTGCTCACGGCTCACAACTCATGTCGACAATCATCACTCACACAACCTCCAGCAATCAAGACATGTCAACAATCATCACTCACACAACCTCCAGCAACCAAGACATGTCAACAATCATCACTCACACAGCCTCCAGCAGTTAATTTATGGCTTAGGGTTTCGGGTTTAGGGTTTAGGGCGGGTGTATATTTAGGGAATAGACCAGGGTTCTGTGTCTTCTGGGCTCGGGCTCGGGTATTTTGGAGGGGTTGGCGCTCCTGGTCCCCAACGGTCAGCGCAGCGGCACGTGGCGTCGAGCAATCGTGGCGGTAGCGATCAAAAATCATGAACGTAGTGGTGATTGACATGTTGTTTGTTTCCGTCACGTGTTGTTGCCCTTGTTTCTGATAGTGGTATACTACTCCCCCCCCCTGTGTTTTCCATGTTGTATCAGTGTTGGTAGCCTCCAAAACACTCACAACCCCACGACCCAAGATGGTAGCCCATGTATACAACTATGTTTTTTCTCGTAAGGCTATCATGCAACCTTCCTCAGAAATTGTCTTTCCATTGAATAACGCCCAAAAAATCCCAAACCCTATCTTCATATCACTTCTGGAATCCTCTCCATTGAATCAAACGCCTACAAAAAAAAAACAAGCCCTGTCTACATAGTACTCCGGAAACCCCGGCCCTTATTATGGAACCAGTTGCCAGAAACCCCTATCCTCATATGGAACCAGCTGTCGCGGACATCTTGGAATCAGCATAATGCCCGCGCTGTCGGGTTTATAGACAACCATGGGAGTGGATTTATTAAATGGTCTCCGAAGCGACAGGGGTTGGGAGGGTGTCACGCGCTTGGGTCCGTGGTCTCCCATGGTCTCCGCTCATGAGCGAAATGGTCCGGGTCCGTGAGCACGGTCTCCGATCATGAGCGACCGAGGTTGGGAGTCTGGTCTCCGATCATGAGTGCAGTGGGCTGGGTGGGTGTCACGCGGCTCGGGTCCGCGGTCTCGCATGGTCTCCGATCATAAGGGTTGTGAGCGCACTGGGGCCGGGTGGGTGTCACGCGGTTCGGGTCCGTGTTCCCCCACGGTCTCCAATCATGAGCGACAAGGGTTGGGAAGGT